TAATTACACACAGAGTAATAATCAGGTTGGAACCTCCCAGAATGCACTTTCTGTTCTGTCATCTTTCCTGAAAAAAAAAAAAACAGCCCATTTCTGATTCCTGCCAGAGATGGATGCTGTTTCATAGAGTTCAGCGCATAGCTGAGGAAGACTGAATGCAAGGCAGACCCAGATAGGGAACACACCTGACCCAGGCTGAGAACCCCTAGAGATGAACTAGCAGTGATTATGCTACAATTTGGATCACCAAGTTTATTAGTTATCTATTGTTGTGTAACAAATTACCCTAAAACTTAATGGCTTAAAACAGCATTTATTATCTCCCAGTTTCTGAGAGTTAGGAATTCAGGAGTGGCTTAGCTGGGTAGGGTTCCATCTTGGAGTCATTCACGAGGTTTTGGCCAAGGTGTCTGCCAGGGCTGAAGGACCCTCCAGGACAGCTGTCTCATGTCACTGTTGGCAGGAGGCTTCAGGTTCTCGTCCGAGGACCTCTCCAGAGAGTGGCTTGAGTGTCTTTATGACATGGCATTTGACTTCCTTAGGATGAGTGATCCAAACAAGGGCAATGTGGAAGCCACAATATCTTTTATGACCTAGCCTTGGAAATCACATACTGTCACTTCTGCCCCATTTTATTTATTAAAAGTGAGTCATTAATTCCAGCCCACACTCAATGGGAGGGGAATTAGACACTACCTTTTGAGAAGAAGATTTTAAAATTGTGGACATATTTTAAAACCTACTACACCAAAAAACTTTCTAATTACTAAACCAGTTTCTAGGTAGTTTGAAAGCAGGAAGAAATTAAGACCATACCAATCCTGGAAAGCTATGTCTTCTGGCAGAGTTTATGTGTTGTGTTATCATAGGTTTGGCTAATGTGGGTCAGTCTTCCAGATCCTGCTCAACTATGGGTGGAACTGACGTAATTAAGATCTTGGTATGATTTCAATCTTCTCAAATTTCTTAAGACTTGTTTCGTGGACTAACATATGATTTATCCTGGAGAATGTTCCATGTGCACTTGAGAAGAATGTGTATTCTGTTGCTTTTGGATGGAATGTTCTGTATATATCTATTAAATCCATCTGGTCTAATGTGTCATTTAAGGCCAATATATCCTTTGATTTTCTGTCTGGATGATCTATCCATTGATGTGAGTGGAGTATTAAAGTCCCCTACTATTATTGCATTGTTGTCTATTTCTTAACAAATAAGTTTTGTTACAAGTCTTAACAAATTTAAGAAGACTGAAATCATATCAAGCATCTTTTCCAATCACAATGGTATGAAACTAGAAATCATTTACAAGAAGAAAGATGGAAAATTCACAAATATGTGGAGAGTAAGCAACATGCTACCTAACAACCATTAGGTCAATGAAGAAATCAAAAGAGAAATAAAAAATACCTTGAGATAAATGAAAATACAACATACCAATACGTATGGGATGCAGCAAAAGTAGTTCTAAGAGGGAAGTTCATAGCAATAAATGCCTACCTCAAGAAATAAGAAAAATCTCACATAAATAACCTAACTTTACACCTCAAGGAACTAGAAAAAGAAGAACAAATGAAACCCAAAGTTAGCAGAAAGAAGGAAATAACAAAGATCAGAGCAGAAATCAGTGAATATAGAATATAGTATAGAATAAATGATAGAGACTAAAAAGACAATAGAAAAGATCAATGAAACTAATAGCTGATTCTTTGAAAAGATAAACAAAATTTACGGACCTTTAGCTAGACTCACCAAGAAAAAGAGAGAGGACTCAAATAAATAAAATCATAAGTGAAAGAGGAGACATTACAACTGACATTACAGAAATACAAAGGATCATAAGAGACTACTATGAACAATTATACACCAACAAATTGGAAAGCTTGTAAGAAATGGATTGATTTCTAGAAACATACAACCTTCCAAGACTGAATCAGGAAGAAATAGAAAATCTGAAAAGACCAATTACTAGTAAGGAGATTGAACCAGTAATCAAAAACCTCCCAACAAACAAAAGTTCAGGACCAGATGGCTTCACTGGTGAATTCTTCCAAACATTTAAAGAATTAATACCTATCCTTCTCAAACTCTTCCAAAAATAGAATAGGATGCAACACTTCCAAACTCATTTTATGAGGCCAACCTTACCCTGATGCCCAAACCAGACAAGGACACCACAAGAAAAGAACATTACAGGCCAATATCCCTGATGAACATAGATGCAAAAATCCTCAACAAAATATTAGCAAACCAAATTCAACAATACATTACAAAGATCATACACCATGACCAAGTGAGATTTATACTAGGGATGCAGAGATGGTTCAACATCCACAAATCAATCAATGTGATACACCACATTAACAAAATGAAGGCTAAAAATCACATGACCATCTCAATAGATGCAGGAAAAGCATTTGACAAAATTCGACATCCATTTATGACAAAAACTCTCAACAAAGTGGGTATAGATGGCATGTACCTCAACATAATAAAGGCTATCTGTGACAAGCCCACAGCTGACATCATACTCAATGGTGAAAAGCTGAAAGCCTTTCCTCTAAGATCAGGAACAAGACAAGGATGCCCACTCTCGCCACTTTTATTCAACATAGTATTAGAAGTCCTAGCCAGAGTAATTAGGCAAGAAAAAGAAATATTAGGCATCCAAATTAGAAAGGAAGAAGTTAAATTGTCTCTATTTGCAGATGACATGATATTATTTATAGAAAGCCCCAAAGACTCCACCAAAAAACTGTTAGAATTAATAAGCACATTCAGTAAACTTCCAGGATACAAAATCAATTAACAAAAATCAGTTGCATATCTATACACTAACAGTGAACTACCAGAAAGAGAAATTAAGAAAACAATCACATTTACAATAGCATCAGAAAAAATAAAATAGTTAGGAATAAATTTAACCAAGGAGGTGAAAGATCTATACACCAAAAACCGTAAGATACTGATGAAAGAAATTGAAGAAGGCAGAAATAAATGGAAAGATATTCCGTGCTCATGAATTGGAAGGATTAATATTGTTAATATGTCCATATTACCCAAAGCAATCTACAGATTCAATGCAAACTCTATCAAAATGCCAATGGCATTTTCACAGAAATAGAACAAACAATCCTAAAATTTGTATAAATAGCCTCCAAATAGCCAAAGCAATCTTGAGAACGAAGAATAAAGCTGGAGGCATCCCACTCCCTGATTTCAAACTATATTACAAAGCTATAGTAATCAAAACAGTATGGTATTGGCATAAAAACAGACACACAGAACAATGGAATGGAATAGAGAGCCTACAAACAAAACCACACATATATGGTCAATTAAATTATGACAAAGGAGACAAGAACATATAATGGGGAAAGGACAGTCCCTTCAATAAATGATGTTGGGAAAACTGGACAGCCACGTGCAAAAGAATGAAACTGGACCTCTACCTTATGCCATACACAAAAAGTAACTCAAAATGGATGAAAGACCTGAATGTAAGACCTGAAACCAAAAAACTCCTAGAAGAAAACATAGGTGGAAAGCTCCTTGACATCCGTCTTGGTGACGATTTTTTGGATTAGACACAAAAAGCATAGGCAACAAAAACAAAAATAAACAGGTGGGACTACATCAAACTAAAAAGCTTCTGCACAGCAAAGGAAACCATCAACAAATAAAAAGGCAACCTACCGAATGGAAGAAAAATTTTGCAAATCATTTATCTGATAAGGGGTTAATATAAAAAATATATAAGAACTCATAAAATTCAATAGCAAAAAAACCCAAAGAATCTGATTAAAAAATGGGCAGAGGATCTGAATAGACATTTTTCCCAAGAAGACACACAGAGGGCCAAGAGATACATGAAAAAGTGCTCAACAACACTAACTATCAGGGAAATGCAAATCAAAACCACAGTGAGATATCACCTCACACCTGTTAGGATGGCTATCATCAGAAGCACAAGAAATAACAACTGTTACCGAGGATGTGGAGAAAGGGGAACCCTTGTGCACTGTTGGTGGGAATATAAATTCGTGCAGCCACTATGGACACCAGTATGGAGGTTCCTCAAAAAATTAAAAATAGAACTACCATATGATCCAGCAATTCCACTTCTGGGTATTTATCTGAAGAAAACAAAAACACTAACTTGAAAGATATATGCACCTCCATGTTCAATGCAACATTATTTACAATAGCCAAGACATGCAAATAACCTAAATGTCCATCGACAGATGAATGGATAAAGAAAATGTGGTATAAACATCCAATGGACTGTTCTTCAGCCATGAAAAGAATGAAATCTTGCCATTCGCAACAACATGTATGGACCTTGAGGGCATTATGCTAAGTGAAATAAGTCAAACAGAGAAAGACAAATACTATATGATCTCACTTATATGTGGAATCTAAAAACAAAACAAACAAAAACCCCAAAAAACAAGCTCATAGAGTAGTTCTCAAAAAAAAAAAAAAAAAAAAAAAATTCTTGGCCTTCAAAGCTGAAGACCAAAAGGTATTGCTAATCTCTGAGTTAGCAGAGTCCCCTGTCCATCCCTGAGCCCCACCTCCCTTCTTCCTCCTAGCACTAAAGGCATCCAGGGTTCATCCATTCTTACATAACGATATCCAGGGAGGAGTCAAAGGGTCTGGAAGGGGGCATCCTATACATTTCAAACGGCGGGAACACAGAGCTGTGCTCAATAGGTGTTTGCTTAGTTATCCGACCCTCAGCGCAGTTACTATCTCAGGACCTTGTTTTATAGTCCTGTCTCAACCTCCCTACTAAGTGTGAGTTTTGGGGGATTGTTTACAGCACAGAGCCCGACAGGAAGAACTATAGGGAATATTTACTGAAAAAATATAATAATGAATAACTGGCACCCGACAAGCGTTCCTTGCTTTACTGGGGCTCAGGGGACTCCTACATCAAAAGAAAGGTTTGGTCCTCCACCACTCCTTGCAATCACGGTTTAGTTCCCTCCACATAGGTTCTCTTCTCCCTGAATTCAAGTCATCGAGGGTTGACGCAGCCGGGACGTCGGCTTGAAACGTACGTTCCAGGAAGTCAACAGGTACACAGGCCGTGCAACTGTACACACCGGTCTGCTGACCCCAGGTCTCTGTCTAGAATGCGGCGGGACCTTGCGCCTCTTCCCTTTGTCCAGGCCCCGCGAGCGCCGGCCTAGCCGCGGCGCCGGGACACGCACGCGGGACTACAACTCCCGAGGTGCCTCGGGCGAGCCAGGCGAGCGCTCCCGGCCGCTGATTGGCGGGGCAGCGGGGCGGTGCGGGGCCGGACTGTGCACGTGCGCGCGGCGGGGCCGGATGGCTGTGCTCTGCAGCTTCGCGGCGGTCCGCGGGGCGCCCGGGCCTTGGCGGTGGGCTGCCTGCGCAGCCGGGGGGCTCCGGGGCCGCCGTCCCGGGAGGGGCTACGCTGCGGGCCCGGCGCAGGTGAGGACGCCCGGTTCCGGCCGAGCAGGGTGGGGGTGGGCCGGGAGCCGCGGGGAGGGGCCGCGGCCCGGTTGCTTCGGCATCCCCGGCCTCCTGAGAAATGGCCTTGACCTCCAGTGCACCTCCTTGTCTCCAGCACGACTGTCCCCGGCGCGGCCCGCCTCCCCTGGCTCGGGCGACCTGTCGTGCCTTCGGCCTGGGAGGAAGGTCAGTCCAGCTAGACAGTGAACAAAATCCCCGAAGGTGCCCAGAGATTGCTTCTTCCTGCTCTTCGTCCCCAGAGTTCCCTGGTGGTTTCCGTGTTCCCATTTTTCCGGTCAGGGTGTGATTCCCGCACTACCTCTTTGGTTTCGGTGATGAGAACCTTTTGGTTATGATTTTCAACTACGGTACATTTTGAAGAGACCTGGGGGCTCGGATGGGCCCCGCTCCGGGAGCGGCACCTGTAAGCGGGCAGCCCGGAGGTGGATGTGGGTTTCGTGCGGGCCTTGTGCTCTGGTTCCATTCGCTCGTGGCCTGGCGTGTCCCCAGCCGCCAGTCGGCGCACTGTAGGGGAGATTCGCGGGCAGAGGACGAGCGCTGTGCAGGGCCCCTGACTTGTGCCGGGCGTCTGATTCTCTCAGCGCGGGAGGGAGGACTGGCCCGCTGTTTTGGGAAGGAGGCTGAAGCTTGGAGCCACATTTTAAGTACTTTTTTTTTTTTTAAGGTCAAGCAGCTGGTAGACGACTGTGCCAGGACTTCAAGCCAGGTAGATCTACAACCCTCACTTTCCCCTGGGCCATTTTTGCCTTGATTCAAAAAGGGGATCATTTTGTCTTCTAAATTGACAATTTCTGTATAATGATATTTTACATTTGTATAATTTTTTCACAGTAACCCTTTGATTATTATTATTTTTTTGTGTGTGTGTGAGGAAGATCAGCCCTGAGCTAACATCTATTGCCAGTCCTCCTCCTTTTTTTTCTCTCCCCAAAGCCCCAGTAGGTAGTTGTATGTCATAGCTGCACATCCTTCTAGTTGCTGTATGTGGGACGCGCCCTCAGCATGGCTTGAGAAGCAGTGCGTCCGTGCACGCCCAGGATCCGAACCAGGGCCGCCAGTACCGGAGCGCGAACACTTAACCGCTAAGCCACGGGGCGGCCCTGATTAATTATTTTTAATTACTTATTTTAAAAAACACACTTTGTGCCAGGCACTATTCTAAGTACTTCACAATTATTAATTCGTATAATTTTCATAACAACTCTGTGAGGTAAGTACTATTGTTATTACCAGTTTACAGATGGAGGAACTAAGGCACAGAGAGATTAGGTAACTTGCTCACGGGGACACAGCTGGTAAGTGGCAGAACCTGGAAGCCAGGTGTCAGAGCCCTAACTCCTAACAGCTATGTTATCCTTTTGCAAATGGAGTAGCCAAAATTGAAAGAGTGACTTGGCTAGTATCACAGAGCTAAAAGTGGGCAAGCTGGAAACATGCAATGAGAATATGTTGATAAAAGGACTTTGTAAGCTGTAATGACAAATACACAGAATTATTGCCATTATTTATAACTGTTATATTGACCCTAGCGTTCGCAGGTCCTGAGATATCTGAGTGCTTTTCTGATAAGAGAGAGTAAAAAAAGGAAGAGAGGGGTGTACTATAACATAGAGTTGAAGAGTACTGGCTTTGGAAAGGAACCCTGCCTGTACTGTTTACTGGCTGACCTAAGGCAAATTACTTAGCTTTCTAAGCCTCCGTTTCCCCCTCTATGTAACGGTGCTATTACTTACCTGCAGTGTTTTTGTGAGAATATACGTAGGGTGCTTTGCACAGTGACTGGCACATAGTAAGTTCTCTCAAATGTGGAAGTGGTTAGAGTCGGTAGACAGTGAAATAGATGGTAGTTGTAATGCTGTTGCTTAGTTTAAAACATATCAACCTTTTACTTAGAGGATCTGGCCTAATACCTAGGACTAGTTAAAAAAAAATCAAATGATAACAGAAGAAAAATCAGAATAGAGATACAGAAGAGAATGAAAAGAAAAATGAAAAAAAAAGGAATAAAAAAACCTATCCCTTTCTCCTTTTCTCTAGGTAACTTCACTGTAAAAAAAAATTAATAGACTTTATTTTTCAGAGCGGTTTTAGGTTTACAGAAACTTGAGCAGAGTTGAGAGAGGTCCCCTATGTGTGCCCTTTTTTTTTTTTTGTGAGGAGATCAGCCCTGTGCTAACATCTGCCAATCCTCCTCTTTTTTTTTTGCTGAGGAAGACTGGCCCTGGGCTAACATCCGTGCCCATCTTCCTCTACTTTATAAGGGACGCCGCCACAGCGTGGCTTGACAAGCGGTGCGTCGATGTGCACCCGGGATCCGGACCGGCGAACCCCGGGCCGCCGCAGCGGAGCGCGTGCACTTAACCGCTTGCACCACCGGGCCGGCCCCTCCCTGTGCCCTTTTGTGAACACCTGCATCGCTGTGGCCCATTTGTTCCAGTGGACGTGCACCTTCACTTTCCGTGTCGCTGGTGCCTGGTTTTCTCTGTACATTCACCTGAGGGTTGGAGCTGGTGATTACTTTCTGTATAGTTAGAGATGAGGGACCCTTAAGGATGTTGCTAACTTGTCCTGAAAACCTTCCTGTCTCCTTAAGTAGCAGAGGCTGTGGGTTCTTATGTCTGAGAGACCAAATCTTGTGACTATTTAAGATATGGACACTAAAACCATTAAAACTGTGTGGTTGTATTTTGCAGCCATCAGCGTAAATGAGCTGTTTTCCTTTATTTTTTAGCTGTAAGTTTTCAAAAATCCACAGACAGAATATTATGAACCACAGACTCATCTTCCAGATTCAGTAATTACTAACATTTTGCCACACATGCTCTGCTTATTTTCTCCCCCTCTTTTTTTTGTGGCTCTAAGATTTTAAAACAAATCCCTGATTTCTTGTCATTTCAACCCTAAATTCTTCTGTGTGTACCTCTAAGACAAGAAGAACATTTTGAATATAATCATACCTAACAACATTAGTAATTCCTTAACATCACTTAAAATTCTGTCTTTTTAAAAATTTTCCCTGATTGTCTGAAAGTTATGGGTAAATGCATTTTACATTTAAACTTTAAGAACAGAATGCTCTGTGTCCATACAGTACAAGAAGGCAGGCAGACCACGTGCTAGAATGACACAGTTCCTGCCTGCAGGGACCTGCCTCCGAGTGCCCGCCTCTTCCCTTGGGAAGGAAGGGGGTGGTTGGGAAGTGCCTGAGGGGAAGGTCTGTCTCATTTCATGGCCTGACTCTTGGTCCTTTGGTGGTCAGCGTTCACTCAGCCCTCAGTGAGCACTCATGAGGAGCTAAGCACTGTGTCTGATCTGGGAGTTGAAAGGCAAATCACACCCCCTCTTCCCTTCAGACCACGAGGTGATTCTCTTTGAATAGAAGAAGGTGAAATCTGGGAAAAGCTATGGTTCCTTTCCCTGGGACAAACGCACATAGAGTTAGAAGGGGTTTGTAGCCACCCTGAAATCTCTGTGGGCCCCAGGTTAGGACTCCCATTCTAGTGGGGTTTGTTGAGGAACAGGGAGGGGTTCCGGGGATCTTTGAGGGCCATCGGTGCACGAGTCCATTGAGTACAGAGCAGAACCGGCACTCATGGCGGGCTGGTGGGAGGTGAGGGACCACCTGGTGCCTCCTGGATCCCTTCCTCACTCCGAGGTACTGCCGTGTGGGCCGCTGCAGAGCTCTGACTTGGCTGCGAGTGCAATCTGAGGCTGGATTTTGAATCCAGTGCTTGTGAACCGGGTCACCTTTGACTAGTTCTCTCTGAATTTGGTTTCTTATTCATCAGTCACATTATGCGGTGAATACATACTGCACACCATGTATAAACAGGCCCCTTTTGCTATAGGTAATGTCACTTGGAGGTAAGGACACTCACCCCCAGAGTGTTGGTACAAAGATTAAATACAAGTACCTTTGTTCCATGTCCAGCTCGGTGCTCAGTATAGTCTCCCCGTCTGGGGTGCAGCAGGCTCCGCCTTTGGAGCCAAGAGTTGGAGACACCGTTTGTTCAGGCATTGCCTGCAGGGCACGGGGACTTCACCAGTTTCTCTTGCCAGCTCTGTGTGCTGGTGGTCAGAGGTGCTATCTTGTGGGTTGGAGTGGCTTTCCTGCCATTTTCCAGTGTCCCTTCGCACCACCACCTTGGCACTGAAGCTGTCGTTGTCTAAGGCTGGGAGGCTGTGTGGAAGGCAGCATGCAGGAGCTGGGAGACTGCCTCCTGGGGGGTCCTCCCTGTTCAGTGGAAGGGAGACGGCATCATGACTTTGCAGTCACTCCATTCCCTATTTTGCTTGTTCCAGAAACTCATCTCTCGACTTCCTTGACCCCACATCCTCTTGATTTTCCTCCTCACTCTGACTGCTCCTTGCTCTTTTCCAGGTAACTAGCACGTGGCCTGCCCTCAGATGGCGATGTTCTCCCTGGTTCTCGAGGAGCCTCACTTCTGCGCTCACTTTGCTTGTGCTTCTCAGGCTCTCCTCTCCCTTCCCAATTTTCGTTGTTCTCTGAGAGCTGACCTTCCAGATTTTCATCTCCAGGACCTTGTATCCAGGGCTGCTATCTCCACTTGCCTGTCTGCAGGTCCAAGGTGGGGTGTATCTTCTGCCCTCCCTGATCTCGCAGCTGCAGCTCCTCCAGAGTTCCTTGGGTCAGTGAGTGATACCAGCATCCACCCTCCCAGGTTCCCAAACTCAAAAACATGGACGTCCCTGTGGTCCCTCCCTCCCTCAGCTCCCGCATCTGATTGTTACCAGGTCCTGGCTGTTCTGCCTCCTGTGTATAATCTGCCCCCTTCCCTCCATTCCCGTTGCCACTAGCTAGTTAAAGCCACTGCAATCTCTGTCTTGGATTGCAATTGGTCCCAGCTGGTCCCTTCAGCTTGACTCTCGTCAGTCCACTCAATCCATTCTTCACTCTGCAGCCAAGGTTTTTCTACAGCGCAGGTCTGGTGATGCCGCTTTCCTGTTTCAGACTCCTTAAACTGACCTAGGAGACCCATGATGGCCAATCCTCTCACTCCCTATGGGTTAGGTACCCCTGATACAGGCTCTCAGAGTCCCTTACTTCCCCTCATCTCTCAGCGTAGCACTCGGTGTAGACTGCCCTGTGGCTGCTTGTTTAATGGTCTTCCTCACTGAACTGGGTAGGCAGAGGCCACCTCTCCCTGCTGGGCTGGTCTGGTGCTCATGGGGCTCTCCATAGATGTTTGTTACATGAATGCATGTATTTAAGTCTTTCATTGCCTAGCTCAAAATTCTCTTCAGAGAAACTACCTCTGTTTAATTCTGTTTATTTACTCAGTTAAGTACTTAGAATTGAGTTACACTTGGGAGAATGCTGCAGTTTTGATGGGTTTGTGTTTCCTAGATGGGTGGCTTGTTCTTTCTCACCAGCTAAGCAATGAGGCGCTGGAGTGAGGTTTGTCTGTGTTTTGGGTGCTTCTCACAGATGGAGCCTGTGCGTAGATAAGGTGCGTGCAGTCAGGATGGCTTGACCTGGTTGGCACCAGCAGAAGAAAAATGGCAAACAGGTTAGGTTGGATTTTTTTGACAATTGAAAAACATTTTGTATGTTGACAGTTTATAAAATAAGAAATGGGTTGAATTTTTAAAAAGAGGGCAGTGTTCAACTTTATAAATCCAAGAAATGCAGATCAAGATGAGATACCATTTTTTTAACTTTTAAGTTAATAAGACATTTGATAATTAATAAACTTTGATACATGTGAAAATCAGTGTTGGTAAGGGTAAAGTGCATTATCGGCCGCGTAAGTTGATACATATTTTTGGAAAACAATTTGTCAGTAGGTGGTACGGTATTAAAATGTTTGTACTCTTGATTTATTACTCCTACTTTTGAGAATCTAGCTTAAGGAAAAATCAGTAATATGGAAAAATCAGGAAGCATGAAGACATTCTTTATAGCATTATTTGTAGTAGCAAAAATGTAGAGAAACCTAAATGTCAAAAATAGGGGAAATAGAATGTTAGTGGATTATTCCCTCAGAATATTAGTTAGCCAGACATGATGTTTAGGAGGTAGAGCTGTGTGTGTTGATATGGAAAGATAACCAAGAGATACCAACTTAAAAAAGTAACATGGAAAAGAACAATATAATGCCATTGTGTGTTAGTTAAAAGATAAGAAATTTATATACTATATATCCGTAAGAAGTTTCTGGAAAATATACAAGAGAGGGAATAGCACTGGATGGAAGAAGGAAGCAAGAAACTTAAAAAAGAACTTTTATATCATCTGTAGCAATTGAGTTTTTTTTTTTAACTGTGTATGTTGTTATAATAAAACAAAATTTTAAAAGATGGTTATGAAAGCTGTTGTAACAGATAAAAATGCTTATATGTCAAGCAAAAAGAACAAGATGCAAAACTGCACGTATATAGTAGTTACATGACAAACATAAGAATAGAAAAAGAAGAGATGAAAGGAAAATATTAATTGGTTGTGTTAAAGTGTTGGGATTATGTTTTTGAACTTCTCTATTTTCCAGTTTAAAAATTCTTCAGTTATGCAAAAATAATTTTAACAAAATAGTTATATGCTTAAAAATTCATGACAAAGGACTAGTTCCGTGTTATAAATGGATTTGCTTTATCAGAAATCCCCCGTCCTCATTTTCTGTTCGTTCTGACACAGGTTTTCAAGGGCCCTGGGCGACTGAGGATGACGTTGAGCCCTCTTTGTGAGGGTCTTTTCCATCCTCCTCTGCCTCTGGCCCGGGCAGTGCTGGTTCTCTTCTCCCCTCTGTGCAGAGCCCGCCCACCTTTGGGTTCCTGCTGGACATCGATGGAGTGCTGGTGCGGGGCCACAGAGTGATTCCCGCCGCTCAGGAAGCCTTCCGCAGGCTGCTGAACTCCCAGGGGCAGCTGCGGGTGCCCGTGGTCTTTGTCACGAATGCTGGGAACATCTTACAACATGGCAAAGCCCAGGAGCTGTCAGCCCTGCTGGGGTTCAAGGTCAGGAGGCAGCCGGAGACCTGGAAGCCCAGGAACCTGGTTCCCCGGGGAACCCCCACTCCAGCCCTGACCAAGGCTCCTTCCCTGGGCTGGGGCACGGTGTCGGTAAACCCAAAGGCCTGGCCAGTTGGGTCAGTGCAAATCTTCCAACCCTGCTGGGAAAATGCCTTGAAGTTCAAGCCCAGCCTCGTGAGCAGAGCCTCATCAGGAGGGTCATTTTTATGTATGGATACACATTGAGCACAGAAATCCCACCCGTATGTTTGTCAGCTTTAGCCTCCTGTCTTTGTATCCATTTCTTCTGGGCGTCAGGGCTGTGTTGTGGATGGTCAGCCCTGGAAAGCAAGGGTCACATTTGCCTAAATCTCCAGGTACCAGGTGGGACTCTGCAGTAATAGCCCTTATTTCTCAGAAATGAGATGTACACATCTGAATGAGCACTTCCCCCAAAAGCAGCCCATCCTCTCCCACCTGCAGCTCCACACTGTGTCCCAGCATTACACATTCTTCTTTGTGAAGGGTGGATTTAGTTTTTGGAAAGAGTCCTTTGGAACCAAGACAGTAAATAAAGTGGCTGATTGGCTGGGTGACACTGCTTGGGGATGAACACAGACAGTAAAGGAATAAAGCTGGTTTCCTTCTCTGGTTTCCGGAAAGAGTTCCAAAAACATTCTGAGTAAAGGCTGCGTTGTTGGAATTAGGATAAATGTCAAAAAGCTAAGTCTAAGTAGAATGAAAACAGAAAGTCAAAGTCAGAGGCAGGTTTCTCTGACAGACGAAGAACGTGCGCACAAACCCCCTGGTTTCCAGCTGGGGGCCTGAGAAGTGCAGGGGTGTCGGTGAGCTGAGAGAACAGGACTGGTGAGCGGGCAGAACCCACGACTGAGGGCGTTTCCTGCTTTCTTGTTTTGTGTGGCACCCCAAATTAGGTTCTTCTCATACCTGTTTGGGTAGTTTCTAGAAGTGTTGGGTGCCAGAAAAGGCTTCTTCCTCTTCTTTTTCTGGGCAGTTTTTTCCCTTCCTAGGTGAAAGACCCTGCCGCCTATCTCCCCATGACTTTCCCTCGCCTGTCGAGTCCTCCGCTGCTCTCCTCTGTCTCTTGGCTGTCCCTGCAGGTGGAGCCAGACCAGGTTATTCTCTCTCACAGCCCCATGAAGCTCTTCTCACAGTACCACAAGAGGCGGATGCTGGTGTCTGGGCAGGGACCCTTGGTGGAAAATGCACGAGTGTATCCTTTTAGTGCTGCTCACTCTGGTTGAAGAGGAAGGAACTGGGGTTTCCTCCCATGCTGAGGGAGGACTGTAGTGAGGCGTGCTGGACACAAGGTGCCAGGGCTCATGGGGTGGGTGGTGGGCTCACAGGAGGGAGGATGGCTCCCAGGTGTGGCCAGTCCTGGTGCCTGGTGGTTTCCAAAAGACAGGCCACATGCCACTGCATCAGAACCTTCTGGGGAGCTTAAAATACAGATTGCCGGGACTTACCCCTGGAGAGTCTGGATTTGCTAGGTCTGGGATAAAATCAGCAATCTGTATTTAAAAAAAGAAGACTAGGTGATTCTGTAATTAGGTTTGGGAACCACTGCTCTAGTGTTCTTCCTTGGAGTGCTCAGTCTACTTACCAGCTGATATTAAGTATCTACAGTGAACTCATCTTCTGGGTTTCTGCACACTCATGAAGCAGAAGACTTGGTTCCTGTTCTCAAGCAGCTTGTTCATTTGCTCATTCCACAAACCTGTGCTAGCAATTCCTGTGTTATCAGCACTGTGCTGCATGCTCTAAAGGGGGAGGGGGACCAAGAGAAGCAGAGTGGGATTGTGACCTGATCAAGGGGTTTGGACGTGAGGATGCGGGAATAACACCCCCATAAACAGTAGAGGAATATTGAAGACGGCATATGATGGAAGCCTAAGAAGAGCAGTGTAGGTTCTGAGAGTCACAGGTGTTGGGGGAAGGGACTATTTCAGGAGTAGGAACCACCTGTGACTTCATGGAGGGGGCGGCTGTGCCCCAGGAGGGTATGGTTTCCCATGCAGGGGAAGTAGCTAGGGGGGCTGGAAAGAGGAGGGATGCTGAGGAGCCCTGAAGCCAGAGGTTGGAAGGGGATGGGTGGGGAATAAGAGAATAGGACGGGTGGTGCCCGGGGTAGGAAACCTCGGAAGTAAACGCGAGAAGTAAGTGAACTTGCTTATGAGGGCAGTGGGGCATTAGTGCAGCTTTTATTGCTGATGGGGTGATCTGACGCAAGCAGCCTTTTTGGGGGATTCATTTTGAGAGTAATCTGAAACCGTGTCCAGTTAAGATTGCAAGTAGCAGTGAGGACAGGAAAATGGAGGCAGGTCTGGGAAAGATAAGGCTGGAGCTGGCTTGCCCCTCCCCAGGTCCTCCCCTTGGCTGAATCCCGTTCATCCTTCGAGATTTAGCTCAAGTCGAACTTCTCTATGACCTTTTGCGCAGCTGCCCCGCCCTTGAGGAGTTGGCTCTTCTGAGCTCCTCAGCACGCAGTGGCAGCACTGTTCACAGGGTGCTGGTTTTGATGGGCTCTGGGCCTGTGGTGAGCTCTGGGAGGACAGATTTCTTGTATGTTCCTGTGCCCTGGGAGTGCCTAGTGTGGGCCCTGGCACCTGGAGTGTGTCCAGTGCCTGCTGGTGCATCGCCCTGGAGGTGTACATCCCTGCTCTGCCTGTGCCGTCAGGGCCCACCTGCCAGCACCTTCAGGATTGGTGTTGGCCTTGCTGGGCTCCATCTGGCGGTTGGGTGGACTGGTTTGATTGGCACTGGGTTGGTTCCCTTCACTTTAAAGGCATCTGCCCCCAGAACTGTCCAGTTTTGCTTCCCTGAACTTGCTCTAGGCTGGGCTTCGAGAATGTGGTTACTGTGGACGAGCTGCGGACGGCCTTCCCTGTGCTTGACATGGTGGATCTCCAGCGGCGGCCGAAGACCACGGTAAGAAGCACATCCCAGGGATCTCAGCATTCAGTTCCGTCCTCCTGTCCCCGCATGGCTCCTCTTGCTGACCTGGAGACCCCTCCTGCTTGGAGCTGCATCTTGTGCATGTGTTCTGCAGAGCTGCCTCCTTGGAGAGGCACAGCTGGCCAAGGATTTTGTTCCCCAGATATACAAGAATGGCCCAGAGGAGCAACAAGCTCCTAAGGCCCTTCCTTTCTGCATGGTGTGTGATTAGCTGAGAACTCCTTTCAGAGCCCTAGCGTCTCCTCCTATTAGTAGTTGATATTTCACCGCCTGGCTTTCCCATTGTTGGTTGGGAGGCTCATCAGCCTCTGTTAAAGTAATCAGTGCTCTGCTTGATCCTGAAGCATGCTACAGAGTGTGTCCTTGTGAGAAGCATGTGCTTGTAGAAGTGACTGGCGATTCTGAGAGTCTGCCCGTGTGCCTTTTGGGTTCAGCGCCTATTGGAACCACTGGTTTGATTTCCTGTCTCTCCTATCAGTAGTCACAGGGCCTCTCACTGATCCTCTGGAGTGTGGCTACCCATCTCTTATTGGCCCTTGGCCCTCTTTTTCCTCATGCAAACTCTATATATATATCACATAGCCTATATTTTAAGTCAGACCTCTGTCAAAATGTGATGAAATGTGGTTATAAATAGACAGGCTTACTGCTGTTTATGCGGCACGAGCCCTCCTCTGCCAGAGCTTTCCACTTGAATAGCGCACTTCATCGCCTTTTAGAGCTTTCTCTTAGAACTATGCAGATTATGTGGAGAACCAGGATGTCAGAGTTGGAACAGATCTCAGAACGGCTCAGAGACTGAGCCCCACCAGGGAAAGTGACTTACCCCAGGTCCCATGGCTGGTTCGTGCAGAGCCAGGACTGGGGAAGGAATGGACCCCAAGAGGTCGGTGAAGTGAGGGCTCCTGCTTCCTAATCTGACGTCCAGAGAAATGATCCATCATGCCCGACAGCCCCCTTGTTCTCCACAGGCTCACCTTCATCTTTAGCTCCCTGATTCTAGACTCTTGCTTGGCCCCTATCTCGTCTCCTGTCCCCACTGGAGAAGGACAGCTGACCAGCCCTTCCTCTTGGCTGACCTTTATATGTGGTATCCCTCAGCTGTTCTGTGACCAACCTGGTCATTCTCTCTTCACCTTTCTTCATGAATCTTCCTCAGTCCTATCCGGCTTCTCCTCAGCTTGGGCTAGACCAGGGGCTGGTCTTTGATCTGTCTGGAATGCCTTTTTCCTCCTGCCCTCCTCCCCACCAAAACCAGTGTGTGGTGGTCAGAGGTGGAAAGTGACCGTTGTGCTGATGGCCTGTTCTTTGTCTCTTGGCAGCCCGTTCCAAGGAACGACTTCCCCGCCATTGAAGGTAATGGGGTCCTCTCCTGTGTGGGTGTGGGTCTGGTTGTTCTCTCTCCCTCAGGCCCTCCAGGCTGTTGTAGTGCAGCTGTTGCCTGCAGACTGGTAGAGTGACTGGGGGCTTTGGTCATCAGGTCACCTGGGTTCTGGTCTCAGACCTGCCACTCACTACCTCTGAGACATTTGTTATTAATCTTTCCTACTCCATATCACTTGCGTGATTATTCCAGAGAAATTGTAAGCTTAGAAAATCTTAGAGTGGAAAGGTACCTAGGGGTAATCTAGTCCAGTGTTTGTCAACCCTCTTAATCCCAGTTCTCCCCTCGTATAAGAAAAAATACCGTAATGTCCCCTTTACTACCCTGAAATGAGATTCATAGATAATATAACTTTCCTATACACATATATTAAAAATTAATTAGTTCAGTATAAAGCCCTAACTGTAATAGGGAAAAATGAAAGGAAACATTTTTAGTAAGGTAATATGTATTTCAATATGTAATAATTACCAAGAAGACATAAGGAAGTAGTAAAATGATTGCAAACATAGAGCCACCATGAGTGTTACAGCTACAAATGCAGACTGATGTAAGTGTGTTTATAGGTGTGTTAGAGGGGTGTTTTATTGGTGAGTCAGAAATTTGAGGCAGCATTGTTATTGGTGAAGTGATTTTCCAAAATAGGGAACCACTCTTAATAAAGTTTTGAAAAAATAAAGTACAGTCTTCTCTTAACTTAGTTGATAGTTGCGTTTTTGGAAAAATCAATGTTTATTAAAACTTGTACCCCAAATCCTTTGTGTTTACATGTAGAATGGAATTAGAGTTTAGGTTCAAGTAATTATCAACAGGTTATTCACCTGTGTGAATGTCGGATGGGACACTGGGATGGTAATAGGACGGGGGAAAGTTTTTGATTGTGCAGGACTGTCCTGAGCATGTTGCATCCCCTGCCTACAGCCCTCACCCACTTTTAGTCATTGTGACAGTTAAAATCCCTCCTGCAGTTTCTAGGCCACCTCCCTAGGGGGCAGTGCTGCCCATTGACAACCAGGTCTGATGCGGTTCACTGGTCTTGTAGCTGACATCAGCAGCTTCCGTTTGTTGAGTGCCGGGTCCAGCATGGTTAAGTGCTTTATGTATTATATCTCATTTTTATCCTCATAATAGTAGTAGGTGTCGTTGTTATGTAGTTGAGGGCGCTGAGCCTTAGAGAAGGTAAGTAACTTGCCCACAATCGTAGAGGAAAATTGGCAGAGTCAGGCTTGGAGTTCAGGTCTCTGTCCCTCCAGGTCCCCCTCTCCTAGCCGTTAGGTTTGCTGGCCTTGGGGCTCAGAGAGAAGTGGCTGCAGAAGGTGGGCCCTTTGCCGAGTCCCTGTGGGGTGAGGTGTGGAGAGAGCAACAGTCAGCAGGAGGAAGTGGGCCTAGATTGCCGCTGCCTTTTATTGGCCTCTGTGAAGTACCCGTGGACACAGTGAAGATGGGTGACCTCGGGAACTCCTTCCTCAGCCCTGGGCCTCGGTCACCAGGGTCAGTGGGTGAGGGGCTCTTTCAAGGCTGGTTCAGGGAACCGTGCCCCTGCCAGGGTGAGTGCCCACGGCGGGAGAGCTTCTGGTTGGGTGGCACCCTCTGGCCTCAGCCGGCCTCCTGAGGGCCTTCTGTTCACCTGCCGGCCATGGAGGGCAGGCTGAGAGCCCTGCAACCCTCATCAGCGTGCCTTTGCTCTTTAAAGGGGTGCTCCTCCTTGGGGAGCCAGTCCGCTGGGAGACAAGCCTGCAGCTGATCATGGATGTCCTTCTCAGCAATGGGAACCCCGGGACTGGTCTGGCGACGGCCCCCTATCCCCATCTCCCTGTCCTGGCCAGCAACATGGATCTCCTTTGGATGGCTGAAGCCAAGATGCCGAGGTGAGGACACAGAGTCCCGGCCTTGACCCTGGTGTCTCCCTTCCAGCTGCTGCCGGGGCCGTCCTGCTGACAGTTCCCACCGTCGTTCTGATACTCGGGGTGGTCAGATCCCTGCCTGGGGGCTCCCTGCGGTTGCCACAGAAACTTGGCCTTCTGGGAGGGGTTGCAAGGATCCCTTCACATTTTAATGGTGAAACAAAAACTACAGCTTACTGAGCACGGAAGATATGTCAAGATGATCTTGAACACATGACCCTTGCCCTCCAGAGTCTTAACAGATCATGCTCTTTCTGACCAGCGGCACCTGGACGGACGCTGGGCAGTTGCTGGGGTGTACCCGTGGGGATGGCTTGGCCGTGCCGCCTCCTCCCGCTGGAGCGTGGTCCTTTCACGTCTTCATGTCCTGTGGCACATAAGGTGTGGGGCAGGGGAAGCAGGAGTTATTCTGAGGTTTCGGGGCCGGGACTGTGAGACCCAGTGGGTAAGTGACTTCCTCCCAGGCACACGTGTATGGAGCAGGCCCGCACTCCTGCGCGGTGGTGCAGATGTCATCTGTCTGATCCTTTCCTGAGGCCGAGCACAGTAGAGGCAGCCCTTTCTCTGGCCCTTGAGGTGCCCACCTGGAAGGGCAGCTGACAGCTGCTGTGGACCGTTTGGCTGCTCTTATCTGCAAGGCCAAAGTCGAGAGTTTTCTCTCCCTGCCACCGACTCACAGTGAGCTGTGTGAGTGGTCCATCGGCAGAGGGCAGCAGGGCTGAATTCCACCTGAAGTCACATGACTCAGCAGCCCCAACGAGATGAGGTGACGGGGTTCTCCCTTGTTACTTTCAAAGTGTATTTCTGCAGCTTGAGGTTAGGTATTTTCTCTGAAGTATCCTGGAGTTAGGGTATGCTGACACCAGGTGAGAGGGGTTTGGTTATATAGGCTGTGAACTGAATAGCAAGGGGTAAATTTCTATTTATAAACCAGATTTGAGATTAATTTTTTATTCAATAATTTAAAAATTGAAAATAGAATTTGGTAAGTGACACTGAAACATTACTTTAATGTACTGTGCAGTATCAGTTAGCGTTTGGTTGAGCAGCAAGGAATGAAAACCCAAAACAAAAGTATCTTATACAAGATAGAAGTGTATTTCTTTCTCCTGTAAAAAAGTCTTGGGTAGGCAGTCCAGGGTTTGTATGGAGGCCCACCTGTCAGGCACACAGGCATATTCTGTCTTCCTGCTGTGCAATCCTTAGCTCTTCACTGCATAATCCAAAATGACTGCCCAAACTCCAGCCATCATATCAGCATTCCAGGCTGCAGGAAGGAGTAGGAGAGGGTGGATAAGAGCACCCCTTCCCAATTATAAGGGTACTTCCTAGAAGCTTAGCCCAGCACTTCTGGTTTCATTGACTCTTTGGCTGTAGCTTAGTCACATGGCCACACTCTTAGCTGCAATGGAGGCACGGCAATGTGCTTTTGACACCTGGGAGCAATATACTCTGCTGAAAATGGGCTCGAAGGAAGAAAAGGAGAATGGCAACCAGTAGTCTGCCACAAATCTAAAGCAGAACTTAAACTCTGGTTTGTGTCCGACTGCCAGTGCTAATACCAGCTCTACCACCTTGGGCAAGGTGCTTAATGTCGCTATGCCTCAGTGTCCTCACTGGTAAAATGAGGATGGTGATAGCTCTCTCATAGGGTGTTTCTGAGAGTTAAGTGTGAGGTGCCGTCGCCAGTGCCAGATCAGTGCCCGAGAAATGTTATTAGATAAAAGCAGGTCATAAATGTAGTTACTTCTTACTAGAAGTAATTTCACTTTGACCTGTCCCCACCAGGGCCCTGGAGTGACAGCTAGTGTGCAGGGTACTGCTTAGAGAACGGCAGGTGGCCTGGAGGAGCCTAGTGGGGGCAGGCCTGAGTTGCTGAGCTCTCTTCTCTGGCAGGTTTGGCCACGGCACCTTTCTGCTGTGCCTGGAAACCATTTACCGGAAAATGACGGGCAAAGAGCTGAGATATGAGGGCCTGATGGGCAAACCCAGCATCCTCACTTACCAGTATGCGGAGGAGCTGATCAGGCAGCAGGCTGAGAGGCGGGGCTGGGCCGCCCCCATCCAGAATCTCTATGCTGTAGGGTAAGCTCTGCTCTACCTCCTCGTCCTTCCCTTCCTCCCTGCCCACCCGCCTCCCTCGCATCCCCACGTCTAATGCACACCTCTCCCCACAGCTGTCCTCTGCTCTCCCTGCCTTGCAACGCTGAACTTGGGTTTTCTCCTCTTTCCTTTTCCAATATGGCTGCCCCTGCCAGTGATAACCCTATGTCTGATGTCTACGGTGCCAACCTGTTCCACCAGTACCTGCAGATGGCGAAGCAAGGTGGGGCACAGGAGCTGGTGGTCGGCGGCCTGTGGAGGCAGCGTCCCTCAGCCACCCAGAGCTGCGCCTCCATCCTGGTGTGCACGGGTGTGTACAGTCCCGAGACCCTGGCGCCTACCGAGCCTGCCGAGGGGGGAGAAGAGCCACCCTTCCATGGGCACCGGGACTTCCGCTTCAGTCCAGGGCTCATGGAGGCATCCCACATTGTGAATGACGTGGACGAGGCTGTGCAGCTGGTTTTCCACAAGGAGGGCTGGGCTTTATAGTGAGGGCCGGGCATTGGAGGCCAGGGGGCAGGAGGGAGCCTGGAGCTCTAGGGGGTCCTGTTGGCTGGCTCTGGCCCAGATCACTGGGCATCAAGTCAGGGCCTGCTCCTGTGACACTCTTCTTGGTGCCCCACAGTGTGATATTACTGGTCACTTGGAAGAAGACAGTGGCTTTTTTTCTGCTGGTCAGTTGCCACAGAATTGTATCTTGGGTAGCATTTTGGGTAGAACTATCAGGATTTTTTGGGCCTAATTCCTTTCTGCCTCTCCTGGCACTCTGACCTCAGGCTAGTCCCTTTACCTCTGTGCCTCAGTTTCCTCATTATTTCAGTAGGGACTTCTGAAAAATGGGGACGTGGTGGAAAGGGGAATAATGTGGAAATTTCTGCAGGGCCTCTGCCCACATTGAAGGAACCACTGCATGCCAGCAAGGAGTGTATAACACTCAGATACCACTTCTTATTGTATTTTAGCTTATTGCCCAGAGACTTTGGGCCTTATTTTTTTTAATTAAAATAATCATAATAAATATTCATTATACTGTCTCTTGTGAAGCTCTATCTGGAATGTACTAGAAAGTCCTGTGGGGGAAGGATTGTGGGTGACCTTGAGGCAGAGAGATTGGTGGCATTTCACTCCCAAAGGTGCTGAGGTCTCCTTTCCAACTGCTGTTCTCCCTCCACCCCAAACCACCCGCAGGCTGGGCTGCGAGGCCCCAGTCTGTCTAGGAATGAGTTATGCCAGGCTTTGGCAAGTTCTTAGCAACTTCCCTGATGTGGAAAAGAAAAAGGGTCTTATTTATGGTTTGATCTAAAGGAAAGAGCCTTTCCTACAGTGATTCTGGAAAGTATGTGTTTCTTATATTCCTCCCTCTAGGAGTAATCCAGTTCCATTTTTCCATGGTCTGTCACCTGTGACCTCATGTTTGCCAGATCCCCTGTCACTTCTCGTCCTCATCTCGCTCCAACAATTGTTTGCATTTGACGCAAGCTGATTACTCCCTCTCCTCTTCTTAAAACACTCTGTACTATGGCTATATCTTACCGACCTCTTGACACCTCTGTGTGGATGCCTGGTCGTCATCTAGAGGGGAGGAAACATAGGAGATTGAGAAAGAGCAGCCAGCGAAACAGGACAGGGATCGAGAGCTAGTGTCCTGGAAGCTGACTGAACGTGTTTCATGAAGGAGGGGTGATGCACTGTGCTCACTCCATACGTATCAGAGCTCAACCGTGTCCAAAACAAGATGCAGCTGGTTCTCCGCCTCCAGCAGCCCAAGTAATCTGGGTCCTCCTGTAGTCCTCCTCACTTCAGACAGTAGCACTCCTTCTCTCTCGTTGTTTAGGCTGAAGGCTTGGCCTCATCCTTGTCCTCTCTCTCTCTTATTTCCCACGTCCAGTCCATCAGCAGATCCCATCAGCTTTGCCTTCAGAATGTATCAGACTATGGGCACTCCAGCCTTCAACACCACGCTGGTCTAGGCCGCTGGAATCTCTTGCCTGGATTGTTGCAGCAGCCTCATCTTTGGCCTTCCTGCCACATCTCTTTTTTTTGTCCCTCCCTAATATTCTCCACTCAGTGGCCCAGAAGTCAGATCACACGTTTGATCTATTCTGATTTAAAACCCTCCTGTGACTTCTCGTCTCACTCAGAGTAAAAGCCACGGTTCCTGACCACAGCACAGATGCCTCTGCATCCTGTTCCACCAGGGCTTCTGGGACCTCACCCACCCCTTCCCCTTCAGTCATTTCACATCAGCCGCTCTGGTTCTCTTGCCAGTCCACCATATGCTCCTCCTCGGGGCCTCTGCACTTGCATTCCCTCTGCCTTCCGATATCCACAGGACTTGCTCCATCCGTTCTTTTTCCTTTCCCCATCACTTCTAAAGGTCTGGTGCATATGTCACTTCAAAGAGAATCCCTCAGCTTCCTATAAAAAATAGCACTCTCTGTGCCTCTTATCCTGCTTAATTGTTTCCATAGTCCTTTTCACCTCGTGACCTGTAAATATAGGTCACTTCCTTACTCTATGTCTTCTACTAAAATATGAGCTCCATGGGCTTTGTCCGTATTGGTTCACGCGAAGCCCCACACCTACAAGCCTGGCACGTGGCAGGGTTGCAAACCTCCTGTAGGGTCCTTAGAGACAAACATGGCCTTCTTTTCTTTCTTCTCCTTTGGGGAGTATGGCAAAAGTGAAAAGACACAAAGGGTCTCGGAGTCAGACCCACCTGGAATCGAATCCCAGCTCTGTCCTTCACTAGCTGTGTGGCCTTGGGCAGTTTCCTTCACTTCTCCAAGCTTCTGTTTTCTGGTCTGTGAAATTGACGTTGGCAATGTGTATTTCATAAATGTGCTATTTTAAGTGCAGTACTGTTTCATTTAGGATTTTGTTCAGCTGTTTGTCACAGAAATCTGACTATAGTGGCTGAACAGATAGGTGGTTATCTTTCTAAGTAACAGAAAGTTCAGAGGTAGGCATTTCAGACTGTGGAAGCAGCTCTAGGGTGTCGTCAAGGACGCAGGCCCTTGTCTACCCACCTTCCTTAGCCTGTATGTTTGTCCACTTGCAAGACGGCTCCGTTATCCTGTCAGGCCTTGCATCCACATTCTAAGGAGGAAGGAGGAAAGGGCAAAGACAAAGCCAGTGGAGCTGGACTCCCTTTAAAGAACTTTCCCAGAAGTTCCACCTTAGGCCTTCCAGTTCTCTTTGGTGGACTACAGCTGGGTCACACGGCGGGAGGCAGGGACAGGGCACATCATTGCTCAGACAGAATCAGGGTCTGTTTGTGAGGAACGCTAGTGGAATGGATGTTGGGCACCTAGCAGTACAACTCCAGCTCCTGGGACTCGGAAGGCATTGACTACAATTCTCTCTTCAAGTGCTCTGAGGAAGTGGGTGAAGCCCTGGCCTCGGAGGCCCCTTATCTGTCATCTGAGCAGCTGGGCTGGCTAACAGTCTTGCTAGCTCACATCTGCGGATCAGTTAACCTTTTCAAACCTAACCTGACCAAAGCATTTTAAAGCAGACATCATCTGTCCATACTTTGTTGGAGCCTCACAAAGCCCCTAAGGGAGAGAGACAATTCTCTTCTCTCCCGTTTTTATCAATGAAGGCACCCAGGCAGAGACCATTCATTCATTATTTCATTTCAGAAACATTTATTGAAGATCTGCTAGGGGCCCAGCACCATTCTAGGTGCCATAGCAGTGACTGTCATTGGCAACAGTACCTGCCCCCGTGGACTTCACCTTTTAGTGACGATGTGTCCAAAGTCGGTTAGGAAATGGAGGGGCTGGGCCTAGAGTTGGGTTTCCTGACTCTGAGCCCAGTATTCTCCCCATGACATGCACCAAAGACACAACCCCCCCCCCCGCCCCCATCCAGCCCACTGCCCTTCCTCCAAGCACTGCGTTACATCCCGGAGTAGCTGCTGTTGTGGACACAGCCCAGATGGGCTCGCCTTGGGCCAGATGGGTCCAGTTACCAAATGGAATGACAGGTGAGAGCAGAAGTGAGTTGGAAAATAAAGCCAAGTGTGGCTACACAAGGAGGAACCTTGCCAGAGTGGAGAATACTTAGCTCCAGATTGAAGAGACAGAGTGACAGCAGCTCTGTGTCTGTCTGCCTCTGGCTCTGTCCCTTTGGCTAGCAGTCATTCTGGCTCTGTGGCCCCTCTCTCCCTTTCTTACATGTTTGAATTTCCTAAAGATACTGCAAGCTATTCCAGACTGGGTGCAGAGAGCACGTATATGGCAACGTTACTCATGCAAATCTATGTCGGAGAGCAGGGCCAGCCTCTCAGCTCCGGTGCCAGTCATTCCTTAGGGGCTTTGTCTAAACCATGGAACCAAAACTCACAACCAACTGCGTCATTTGCTCAGCCTCAAACTGAATGAAGATGTTACCTTTTTGGTTTCGTTGGAGCCAAGTGAATACAAAACAAATAAGACTTTGTAAGTCAATTTGAACAGGAAGTAAGCACGTATTTATAATAAAATTATTAACCTGGAACAAAACTGTACCGTCAGGTGTTCACGTTGAGCAGATAGAATCACCTTGGGTCTCCTTAGTCATTACCTTGGAGTCGGACACAGGGGCACTTCCTCGGTGTTCCCCTCCGGGGCAGCAGCTTCTGGCCTCCTGAGGACACCTCTCGGCTACCCGAGGAGGTGCAGTGAGCAAGCTGGTAATCAGGATTGCAGCAGAGCTAGGGTTGCTGTAGCAACCGGATGCTGCCTTGAGGGTGGAATTTTAAAATATCACAGCTATAATAGTTGTGTTTTTTTCTAATCACTCTGTCAGTTCCCCAGTGCTGCGTGGTGCTGCTGAGGCTGGCCATGCCAGGACGCCTGTTTCTCTGCCTGGGGCTCTTGGCAGCTTCTCCGGGGGTTGGAGGTGGGAGGATTGTCTCAGGGTGTGAACTACTGGGAAGCTGAGAGAGCTTCAGCGTTGCCTTCCAGGCTCCTCCAGCTCTTGGTTCCAAAAGCCTTATGTCATTTTCTCTTTTTTGGGAGGCAGAGAAGAGGGGTTTAGCTTGAAACTCTTCCTGCCCCTCCTCCCACTCTGACTTGAGCCTTCTGGCTTACATTCTACCAGAGCAGCCTTAGCATTCCCGGGACCTCTCTGGAGAGGGGAGGGTGTGTCCCTTTTTGTCTGCTTTTTCCTTTGGTCTTTCTAACTTCCTCTTTTGGCTTCATTTCTTCACTCATCCAAAGACTGTTGAGCATCTCCTAAGCCCCGGGGTAAGAAAAGAGAAACTGCTTTTGTCTTGGAGGAGTTCGTCACTGTCTTGACCCTGAACTTGGCCCTATCAGATTTCAAACATTTTTATAAAGTTACAGTAATTAAGACAGTGTTCTATTGGCAGGGGCAGGGATACAAACGTATGGGACAAAACAGCACTCAGAAATACATAGATGAAATATATGAAAATGTGGCTTAACAAAATAAATATTTATTTCTTGCCTATTTCATAGTCTGATAGGGGCTAGGTGGCTGTTCTTGGCCTTTTCTCTCCAGCCAGGACTCAGGGATCCAGGCATCTTCCATTTTGTGATGTGTCATCTTCAACACATGGTTTCTAAGTCTTGGCGGAAGACGAGAGAGGATGGGTGACTGAAGGGATTTATGGCCAGTCCTGATAGTGGTGTATATCACTTCTGTCCATATCCATTGGCCAGGCACATGGTCCCAGTGCAACTCCCAAGAGGATGGGAATTGTGGTCTTCCTCTGTACCTGGAAAAAGGAAACGGGATCAGTCGGCATCTAGCCTCTCTCTGTTGCCATATTACTGTTTACTAGGATAAAGAAATTCTGTTTTGCTTAGTTTTTGTTTAAATTCATGAATAAATGTTGAAAGTTGTTTCTCTATATTTATTGAGTTGATCATAAATGTTTTCTCTTTTAACCTGTTAATGTGGTAAATTACCTTAACAGATTTTTTTTCATCTTTAACTCTGCCTTTCATTCCTGTGATAAAACCTAATTGGTTATGTTGCATTTTGTTGGCAGCTACTAGCTAGTATTTTGTTTAGGAGCTCTTTATCTATGTTCATAAATGAGATTGGCTTATATATTTTAACTTTTTTCTATGACTTTGTCTGGTTTTAATATCACTTATATTAGCCTCATAAAATAAATGGTGACTCACTTCATCTTTTCCTATTTTCTGGAACAGTTTGTTTAAAATCAGATTATCAGTTCCTTGAATATTGGTGGAACACACAAAACCATCTGAACCTGGTAAATTTTGTTGGGGAGACTTTTAATTACTGATTCAATTTCTTTAATAGTTATATGTATATTCATATTTTTCTACTTCTGACTGTTTAGGAAAGCCATATTTTTCTAGGGAATGTTCTGTTTTTCTCTAAGTTTTCAAATACATTGGTGTAACATTGTTCATAAATTCTTATCGTTAAAAATCGCTATTGTTTCTGAAGTTAATCTCTTTTCA